CAAATTATCAGCCACCATATTTGTATAAAAAGTTAAAATAACCTGCTAGCCAGCACACTGGTATGGAAGGGGCAGTGGTTAAGAAAAGAAAAGATTAATATAACTCTCAAATATCTACCATTAAAATTCACGTTATAGGATTTTTTTTTCAGGAAGTGTCTTGGGGTTTAACAGAAGATTTCAAAACAAAATATTTTGTTTTGTTTCCATAGAAAAGAAATCCCAGTTTTCTCTTGTACTTAAAGCATTTGCCCTTTTTTTTAATAGAAAAAAAAAAAACTAAAAAAGTTTCCACCCTCCTTTTAATCCACTTCTCAAAAACAAAACATGCTTCCCTTTATTTTTGAATATTGCTCACTATCTTTTTCCACTGGGAAAAGCAGCACAGGAAAACAGATCATTGCTGCAATCCATGCTATGTTATGCTGTGGTGGGATGTAGATAAGTCAGGATTGATGAAGCAATCTCTTCCTGGAGCAGTGCTAAGTGTGCTAGAAGCCCAGTGGCATAACCCCAGTAATAATTATAGCAACTAATGCTAGGTAAGGGGGAAGCTAAGGAAGGTGTGTGTTCAGGGCCTGGGAAACCCATTTCTGTTTAATAAGTGATCAGTGTTGACAAAATGCTCCGGTCTCAAGGGAGAGAGAGAGAATGGGAAATAATACTTATTTTTAAGTAGCAAGCGAGCTGTAAAATGCCATCCGGATCAGAAGATAGTGCCCCAGCCTAAAGGAGCAGGGCTGAGGCTCTTTAAAAAAAAGGTGTAGCACCTTGGGAGCCTAACTGGGATTTCTGTGGCAATAGGGAGGTTTGGGAGAGGCGTCCCCCCCTTCCCATCACATTTAGGGGTCTCATTTTCCAGTTTTCCCAAAGTGAATCATAGAGAAGCAGGGCTGGGCTTTAGTCCCCACCTCTTCCCGACTGTGTTCCCCAGCCTACTCTGCCTCCTGCTGCTCGCCTGCCACCACTTGATGGTAATCAGTACGTATGCCGAGGGAGGCTGCCCCTGAGACGGGGCTAGCCCTTCCTTTGGTGCCTTAGGGCTATTGTTGTGGCCTTCTTGCCACCCCACAGCTATGCCCACACCTCACTGATGACCAAGGATCCTGGTTTTCTCTGATTTAAGAAAATCCCCACTTTTCAGTTGCAAAAAAGTTGCCCCAAATCCACATTTCTCCATGGTTAAAATGAAACACCACTATCTATTTATCTGTATATTAGTGGTGTTTCACTTAAATCATGGAAAATGTGGATTTGGGGTTACTTACTTTTAACCAAAAATCGGATTTTTTTAAATTGGAAAAAACCAGGATGCCTGCTGATGACTCTGTTCCCCACTGCCTGGAGGGAGAGAGACCTGTCCAGGTGTCCTTACTTAGCTTAACAGGCTCCTTAACCACCCCTGGCCTCCAGGCCTGAGTCTCTTTTGAGCTGCCTGCTGCCCCAAGGATGTGTCCCTCTATGGGAGAAAAGGAGATCATGGCTATGCAGCCCAACACCAGCCCTGTTAAGGATGACCTTCTATAGCCACTTCCAACGGGGCAGGTGTCTGGAGCTGGTCCCCACAGCGGGAGGAGGGAGAGGCGTCTGCCCTGATTTCCTCTCTGGATGCAACGCTTCCACAGATCGATTCCCTTGATGTACATGATGGGTAGCATACACGGCTATGAGGAATAATATTTTGCAGATCCTGCAATCGAAAGGAGATGAACCTCTTCTTGATTGCTTGCTTAGCCGAGCAGTCTGTAATGTGATAGACTGCAATTATATCATACAGAGCAAGTTTGTCTATTCATTCCCTTCCTCTCCACATTTCCTCCTCTTGATTGAATAATCACTGACAATAATCACAAGCAGCTGTAGGAAGGAAGTGCACCCATCAGTTTTAATGTCAGCAAGAATGAGGGCTGATTCCTCCAGCATTCATCATAATTCTACTTCTCCAGAGCAATTTCAGGTTTTTTCATAATGGTGCAGTTAGTTAACACTGAGATGGCATCGGCTCTATTACTGGTCTCTGATTCAGTTGTTTGTAACCCAGAACAATAGAAACCCAGAGGCATGGAAAATATCTGACTTCCATAAAAATAAAAAAGATGGTCTTCCCGCAGACTTTCCTGAAGTCTCAAAAAAGCTTTAAAAATGATGCTTTATCTGTAGTGTTTGTGAAAATACCATTGATGCACTAAGTGGATGCTGTGCAGTGTGTAACTTTACCCAGACCAAACAAATCACATCTAGGGAGGCATAAGCTTTCCCCTGTTAACCTATTCAAGGTATTAGTTTTCCAGCCTGATTGAACCACCTAACAGATCACTGTTAACTATTTGGCTACTGATCCCTGTATCAGAAATTGCCAGCTAATAGGTTTGCTCAGGCAATATACCTAACAGTTCTCCCTGCTCAATACTGCACCCAGGGAATATCTAAAATTAAATCCAAGATGACGTTGTGGGTTGCTCAATATTACTTAAGTGTGATACAATTTTGAGATTTAGTTTTTTCAGTGCGGATAACAGTAATGGTATCCGACAGCACTCTTTGCTTTAAGTGCAGATAACTACTTAACGGTAAACAAACTGTCTTGACTTACATGGTGCTTTGAAGCAGCAATGATGAGTGTATTACTAGTGCATATTACTAATGCAGGGAAAGAAGACATAGAAAAAGGACAAATTCCCATAGGGTAAGATCTGGTAAACTTAGGCTTGGTCATTTCAGGTAACAGGCCTTCCAGCTCAAATTATTCCCCACCCCAGGGATCAGGACGAGACCAAATCTTCTAGAAGTATTCAGATATAATACTGGAGGTTCAGCATCCAGTTAGTCCAATGCAGAGGAAAGATTAAAAAAACCCTGCAAGAACCAATGTGTCTGGACAGAGAACTATTTAACTCTCTACAAATCAAGAGATGCATGCAGGCAACACAAGGAAGGCTGTCACACCTACAAAATACACAAAGGAATAGCATGAATTTGTAGGGACAAAACCAGGAAGGCAAAGGCAAAAAAATAGGTTACAACCAGCAAGCGCTATTAAGACAACAAGAGCAGGTCCAGTGAATAGGTCAGATGAAAAAGATCAGAGAAGCAGGGACTATTGCTCAAAGGAGAAAGCGAACCATCACTGAAAGACATAAAGACAGTGATGATGCAAAATGTCTCTGTTGCTTCAGTCTTCACAAAAGAAAGTGAACTGCCAGCAGATGACTAGCAAAATGAGCATAGACAAAGAAGGCAGAGAGATGTAGAGCATGGTAAGGAATGCACCAGAACACTTTCCATTAATTTGAATGAATTAAAGTCAGTAGGACCTGAAAGCACTCATCCCAGGGTGCTAAAGGAACCAGCTGAAGAAACAATGCCATCACTGGCAATAATATTTGCAAATACCTTGATGATGTGTGAGACCCCCAAAGGGTACCTGTAATATCTGTACACCCGTCTTTATAAAGAGAAAATAAGAAAACAGAGAAAATGATAGACCAAATTAGGCTGTTTCTAGAGTAAATTATATTGTAAAGTGGTAAATACCTGGAGGCGGAACAAGCAATCACTAGCAGCCAATAAGACAAAAAATCATGGTGAATCAGTCTGATTTCCTTCTTTGAGCGGGTGACCAGTTCGGTGGATGAGGGGAATATGGTGGACATGTAGCTGAGCTTTAGTTAAATGCTTCTCGGAGGGAAGATGGAGAAATGTGGATGAGTTCACATTACCACGGTATAGATACATGATTGGTTGAACAGCAGCAAGGAAAAAGCAACTACTAATGGATCAGTGCTGCTAGGTCTTAGCTCAGGGATGGGCAATTATTTTGGGTGGAGGGTCACTTTCTGAGTTTTGTTAAGCCGTTGAGGGCTGCATGACAGACAGGCGGGGGCAGATTAATATTTATTTTCTAAATTTTTGGGGGGTCCCGCAGGCCAGATGCAATGGCCTGGCCGGCTGCATTTTGCCCGCCCCTGTCTTAGCTGGAGTATTAGGTCCAGTTTGGGGCACTATGTTATAAGAAGGATGTAGAGACCCTGAAGGGGGTGTGAAGGTGGGTAACAAAGAGGATAAAGGAGATTCGGGAGGGGGCATGTTGGTAGTTTTCAAATATCTGCTATAAAAAGATGAAAACATTATTCTCCCTTGGAACAGGGACACAAGGCAGCAAGTCCCTACTGCAGAACAGATTTAAATCCAAACTCAGAGAAAATGTCCCAGATGTTGGAACAGTAAGACAGTGGAAAACACTGTCTAGGAAAGCTGTGGGATCTCCTTCACTGAAGGCTTTCAAGAAGGTTGGAGGAGCACCTGCTTTGGCATACCCAATCCTGCATATCTGCAGGTGGCTGGATTAGATGACCTGCAGGTCCCTGTCCACCTCTCTATACAGAGGGCCCCTATAAAATCTGTACACCAAAGTAGCTTATTTTACAGCATAAGGCAAAATCCCTTTATTTGCACAAATAGCTGCATTAAGAGCAGCTGCAGAACACCCTGAAAAAAAAGCTGGTTTGAGGAGTTGGTTTGTTTGGGGGTTTTGGCAACAGAGCAACCAGAAGGAACGAATCCCACTTCCAGAAGCAAATCTCAAACAAGAGAGCAGTAGAGACAACAGCCCTTTTCAGACAGAAAAGATGTTGCTTATAATTTGATGGGAAGTGCCAGGGTACTACATGCACAGCACCATCACAGATACACAAATAAAGGAGGAAGATGTGGGGAGGGGGTAGATCGCAAAGGTTTTTGAGAGGTTATTTATTTTAGGACTGCTGGGAGCAACCGTTTGCATTGCACTGTCTTGTCTAGGTGTGCTCAAGGCTCCAATCCAGAACTTACCATGCAGCATTCAACGGTGATGCTATTGACTCTCTCGCTGATTTAACTGCCCGTCTCCATTTATCCAAGCCAGTTTATCTCAGCTGATGGTCTGGCTAAGTTCAGAGACCGTGGACTGAAAAAGATACGTGTTAATATGGAATCACAAAAAAAAAAAAGGCACAAAGTGCTTTTAAAATGAAACTGTTAGACTGGTTTATTGGACTGAGTTAAATTGTCTTTCAAACACAGTGACACAGACCAAAAAAAGTACCCTGATTACTGTTTTAGTTATGGCTTACATCAATTGATAGGCTTTCTATCACAATTGGAGTACAGCTACAAAAACAATAAGCAAAAATTACAAGGTGGAAGATTTTAGTAAACCAAGAATCCATGAACATGAGGTTGTTAACAAGTAGGCATAAATCAAGTTGATTTTTTCCCCCACCTAAACATAACAGAAAACAGGAACAGAGTTTATTTTAATAGTAGCCCACATCCATTAGCTTGAAGACAGACATTTGTTCCAATGGATTGGAATATTTGTTTCTATCAGATGACAATGGAGGACATTGAACCAGCATTTTTCCCTCTCTCTTTTCCTTTGTTTGACGGTCTCTGTCAAACACAGTACAATTTCACTTAGGCTGCCATCTGATAAGAGACCTTACTACGTTTTGCAAGATGTAGACCCTAAGCAAAGAAACAAAGGTCACCACCAGTAGTGAGCAGTTTTCCTTGCAAGGTTCAGTCGCAGGGTCTCCCGTGTGCAGCACTTCTGCAGGATCCGGAGATGCAACCAACAGGACTAGCTTGGTCCTGGGTGTTCCTTACCAATAAGGTTGGTATTAATTATGGTATATACAAACTTTATGGGGCAGTGGAGAGACTTCAATGCCTTGATTCCTCTCAGGAGCCCAAGAGGGTGCAAGTTTTAAGATCCATCCAACATGTTATCTGGTTATCGGCTGCATGAACTTGTAGCCATGGTGTGCACTAACTTGTTACAGTGACTGGGGGTGTTAAAAGGATGCACATCAGCTCACCAAACAACTGAACATGGAGAACATGTATGGCTTTCTAAAGGGAACTCGGACATATCAGTAGCATTGTCATTTATTTACAAGCTTCCAGTCCCATGCATACATTCAAGGCAGGTTTTTGTATGTCCTATGTTTCCCAGTAAGTCTCGCGCCTGCATCCCAAATGTACCCCACATACGCAGGGCAGTCTATAGGATTTTGATGTGCGCAAGGCATGAAATGTCAGACCCCTGCACTGTCATACCAGCGCACAGTCTGCTCTCCCTTACGGTTGCTGGAAAGGACTTCCCTAACTGTAACTGCTGTTGATTTTCCAACACCAAGCAAAGACATGCTTATGCCGAATTGCCCATTCCCATTACAAGAATCACAGCATAATACTGACGTGGTTTTTCCAGTGATATGTTATCCATTCATCTATAACTTTAACTTACAGTTGTGAGACCCTATTGCTGCCCCACAGAAGCCAACTGCAAACCTCCTGAGGACTTTAAAGGAGGGAGATTGCACCCTTGTCCCAAACCCATTAGAACAGGTTTGCTCAATCCTCAACCTGTGGGCTAAATTTGGCCCCCAGCACCATATCACCCAGCCCACAGAGTTCCCCACAGGTCCATGGGGAGCCTCGCAGGTCATTGCCCTGTGTACTAAATTGGGAGTGCAGTGTGACAATCCTGGTACACAGGGATGAGCAGAGGTGACATGGGACCCATCAGAGCCAAATCTCAGCATGCAGGACCGGCAGGGGTGGCAGGAGGCTTTGGGGCCTGATCCCAGTGGGCAGAGGTGGTGCAGGACTCCAGGACCCAATTCTAGCATGAGGGGTCCGATTCAGCCCACACCCCTCATCCGGCCCATGGGGCTGAAAGGTTGAGCACCCCTGCCTTAGAATCACCAAGGAAGGCCACCCGGATACAAGCAAGGAAATGGCCCTTTCCTCAAGGCATGTGATTCCTACATGCACCCAATCAGGTCGGGAAGCCTGATTAGTATTTACAGTGCCTGCGATTTTATATATGGCAATTTACACTATCTCCATGAAATGCTTTGCATAGATGGTTTGGAAATATGATGCTTCCCAGAGATGAAGGTACAGGAATCTGGAGGAGAAAGGGAGATATGCAAAGTTTCTGTCCCCAGGTAAGATTTGCTTCTTGACTGCACACACACAATTAAAAACACTGTAATGCTACTATCCAATATCTACAATCTATACAACTGGCTGAGAAATGATAAGCTGCTTGCACCACTGCAATCAGGGCTCAGTCCTGTGATTGCCCTCATAATCCCATCCGCTTGACTCCATACGTCATCGGGCTATGGATCTGGCCTGTGGCATAACGATGCCTACTAATGCCCGCTGCGGCCTGGACTTTTATTCCAAAGTCAAGCAAAGCTCCTAGTGACTTCCATGTTTCAAGGGGAGTTTGGGCAGAATAAGGGCTGCAGAATTTTGCAATGGTTTCCCTTTTAATTCATGTGCAAAAGTCCCAGAGCTCTCTGCACAATGAGATGTAAGCCAGGTGAAAAGCAGGGTTATCCTCAGGGTTGTATCATTTTGTAAATTCAGGGTTCTGATTGCAAAGGTCTATGCCACAAAAGGCCCAGAGAAGAAGCAAGTCCCCTAGCCAGCAGTTTTTATTCAGAAACCCCCTCGCACATCAACTTCAGAAAGCACTGACTCATTGAGCACAGCGTAAAATCTTACAGGAAGGGCCACTCTGTCTCTGTGCTGCATTACAAACAGAAGCCACAGTCCCTGTTGATGTGACAAACCACCCATTCAGTGTAAAGTATTCGTGGCACAATGCAGCTCTCCATTTGGGTTTCTCTGCCCCTCTTACACATCACTCAGTCACTCTGGGTGAATGATTCCCTCCGTGCATGCGGGTTGTCTACATCAAACTTGCATCGTTCCATACAAGCACCATGCACCAACTATGCAGTTGTTATTGCAGCTTCCAAAATGTAGTGCTCCTGCAACAGTCATCACTACAACCTGCTACCCTCTCCCTAGGGTTTCTTCAGTGAAGCTCATGGGCTTACTTGCCTGCCCTAGATAACTCCCAGGTACTGACATGTGGTGGAGCCTCCAAGGAGCATCTTGGAGCCCAGGGATGAGAGACCCGTAGGCAGTGCGAGTTGACTTTACCACACACCAGTGGAAACACAAAGGATATGCTGCAGTACACAACAGAGGATTTACCCTGGTGTTGATCTATCACATTTGATCAACACCAGGGTTTGAACATGAGCTCTACAGAGCTGAAAGCAAGAGACTACACTGCTTATCCTGAAATGACTGACACCCTTAGAAGCAGTCCCATCGACCCTTCCCTCCCTCGATCCTGAATTGCCATCCAGTGTAAGCCCATGTGTCCAATGCCCAAATACCACTGTTATGTTGTAATGCTAACCTAATACGGCCTCC